GCTCTGCCTTCGGCGACGCTCGACCSGTTCCCCCGGCCCTGAAGTCTTGGGCGTTCGCTGCCGCTCAGACCAGGGTCTGGCGCGGGGTTTTTTTTTTTTTTTTTAAAAGCAGAAGTTGGCGAATGGCAGCGGCTGGTTCAGAGTGCAGAGAGGGGGAGTGAGCTCGCGCTGCGAGGGCATCCTTTGCTCGCGGAACAGAAAGGAAGGCCGAGAGGGACAGGCAAGCTTCGCGCGGCGGTGGTCGGATGGCACGGAGAGCGTCTTCCCCCAGGCATCTGCAGGAGAGGGCGGAGAGAAGGGAAACGGGGTGAGAAGGATGGGCAGAAATCCCCGTGGCCACCTCGCGAGACAGCAGCGCAGCTGGAAAGGCAAAGCGGGAAACACAAGGGAGATTTTGAAGAGCTCAGAACTCCAGTGAGGTTAAAAAACGCCTCACCCCCCACGGCTGGGCGCTGACTGGACTGGGATGAACAAAATCACCCCGTGAGACACCTCTACATGGCCCCATGGGGTACATAAAGGTCCATGGTGTGCTCTGCCCAGCATTTGTGGGATGCCGTGAACCACAGAGTCTCCAATGCCGCCAGCTCCAGAGATAATATGATAAGATATAATATAAATAAAACATTTAATTTAATATCTTTCTGGAGCATCCCCATGCCCCCAGCATGCCAGCTGCCTCCCTGCCTCCTCTGCAGCCAAATCTGTTGGTGAGAGCATGAGCTGTGCCACAGGCAAACGCTGCCACCCCCATGGGATGTGGTCTGGGGGTGCTCTGTGGGATGGGAGGGACTGGGAGAAACCCATCAGAATGGGGCAGACATCCCCCCCTTCTGGATCTGAGGGGGATGCCCATGTTTTGATGCTTCAGCAGAGGAGAATCAGCCAGGAAAGATGGGAATGGCACCAGGGAGGTGGGACATGGGGCACCCCCGGCCCCCCGCCCCGCACTCACCGCCGCTTGGCCCCGGGACTATACGAGCCCGTCATAGAGGGAGAGCGCCTGCACGATGGAGGGGTCGGCCTTGGAGCCCTCCTGAAATTCCTGCAGCGTCAGCTTCCCATCTGCATTCTGGAAAAACACTCCTGTTACAGCACCACTTTGGCCCAGCTGAGTGACCTCGGCACCGAGCACCCTGGCAGCACCCACACCATCCCACACAGCCCCCCGGGTCCTCCCCACTGCCGCAGCCTCGGTTTCCCCATCGAGCCACCCACGCCTGCAGCCAGGGAGGAGTGCCATGGATGGGGCAGTGCCACCTTGGGGACCCTGAAATGGATACAGGGATCCCTGGAGGATGTGGGGGGGGTCTGACAGCGATCCTGGTGGCAGCTGAGACCTTGTATTGATGAGGGAAGGAGGCACCTGCAAGAGCCGAGATGCAGGAAAGGGGCCCAAAGCACCTCCTGAATCCCTTGGCCCCAGGGAAAAAGCCCTCAAGCATTCTCACCTTGTCCATCATGGCAAAAATCCGATCCACCCTCTTCTCCGGTGTGTTCTCCTCCTCAGGAAGCTCCACTGTGTTTCCCTGCAGCAGCAGGATAGGGCCCGGTCACACACCCACCTGTGCCCTGCCTGGAAGGGGTCCCCAGGCAAGGACACGAGTTTTGTCCCCGCAACACCCCTGACATCAGGACAGAGTGCAAGGGGACGGTGTTGGCACCAGAACCACACACAGCAGTCAGACCCAGACCCTGTCCTGGCCACGATGGCCAAAATCCCCCATCGAAAAAAGCCAAAGAAGGAACTGGAGGTGTTTCAGCATTCCCAGAGAGCCAAGCTCCAGCCCAGCAGGGACCCCCAGAGGCTGCTCAACCCACTCACCCCCCCACACCCCACTCACCACCATCTGATAAATCGCATCCACAATGTCCAGCATCTCGTTCCTCGTGATGTACCCGTCGTTGTCCAAGTCGTACAGCTTGAACGCCCCTGCAAGCCAGAGCAACACCGAGGTGCTGGGACCGCAGCCTGTCACCCCCACGTGACATCCCCCAGCGCCCTCGTGGGGCTGAGCCCACCGGCATCCCATGGGGAGCACTTACACCTCAGCTTCTCGTCCAGCGTCCCCCGGGAGGTGACTGACAGCGCCTGGATGAACTCCGAAAACTCGATTCTCCCGTCCTGGGGAAAGGAAGGAGGGGGTGAGGGTGCTGCTGCCACCCCTGTCCAGCAAAGCCCTCCCTGCCCACATGTGCCCTCCGAGGGGGCACATCCAAGGAGGCAACGGGGAGGGAGGAGCGATGCAGGAGGAGCGACGAGGGAGGATCTCTCTCCAGCAGCGTGATCCAGCCGCTGGTGCCCGGCCCGCCAGCGAGCATCCCTGCAGGAGCAGCTCTGGAATGTGGGGGCACTGCAAGGCTGGGCTTTTGTCAGCAGCACCAAAACATCTCGTTTCTCCTCTCTTGCTTTGCCACTTCATCGCCTTTCCCCACGTGACTCTCCTCGACTAAAATAAGCGTGGGGGCTCACTCGCTCCAGCTGCGCCACTTCCATTTCACGCCCCAGGAAGCACTGGAATATTTTGCTCCTCCGGTGCTGCACAGCCGTGCTCCAAACCCATCCCACCACCACCACAGACACAGCCCTGACTCCCCTGGACCTTGCCCCCCAGATCCCACACTTACTTTGTTCTCATCAAAGACATTGAAAACAAAGGTGGCGAATTTGGTCGGGTCGCCAAAGGGGAAGAACTGCTTGTAGATCTTCTGGAAGCCAGCGGCATCGAGCTGCCCACTGGGACAGTCCTTGATAAAGCCCTTATACCTGTGGAGGGAGGACAGAGCATGGGCACCAGGAGGATCTCCCCGCTGAGCCCTGGGGAGCTGGGATGAGGCTCTTCCCAGTGCTGCAGTGGGCTGGAGCTGGGAAGGTCCCCAGGTGCTCCCTGTGTCACTCCCATCACCCACCCGCAGCCTTCCAGCCCTGTGGGATGAGGTCCCTGTGGGCAGCACAGCGAGGGTGGCAGTGGGGACAAGCAGCGAGTGGCACCGGTGACACCGAGCAGTGCCCGCTGCTCCAACCTGCTGCCAGCCCACAAGTGGCAACAGAGCCACAACCAGGCTTGTGTTGAACGGTGCCCAGGAGCTGGGAGGGGACAGGGACCCCCTGCCCAGAGAGGACTGACAGCAACCCCGTGTTGCAGCCATGCTCTGGTGAAAAACAATGGCACAATGGCAGCTGAGGTTCTGTGAGAGTGTTTGGGCACCAGAACAGGCTCCCCAGGGAAGTGGTCATGGCACTGAGCCTGCCAGAAGTCAAGAAGCATTTGGACAATGCTCTCAGGCACATGGTGGGATTCTTGGGATATGCAGGAGCTGGATTTTGATGATCCTTGTGTGTCCCTTCCAACTCAGGATACGATTTTTGCACAATCCCAAGTGAAAGCTGCTCGGGGGAACTGGGGGGGCACAGCGGGGTTACTGTGTCCTCAGGTGGCATCTCCAAACACCTCAAAAAGCCCTTGGTCCCAGCTCTGGGGCCCTGGGTGCTGTGAAGTGCCACCCTGGAGGGTGTGGCACCTGTGGGTGCAGGGAGCATGCAGGGAGCACACGGGGACCACGTGGGGTACGTGAATATTATGCAACACATCGCCCAGATCTGTCAGGCTCCCGTGGCAGCGGGACGAGGGCTGGGGGAGGAGGGGAAGGGGGTGGCGAGGTGGGAAACCGAAGTGCTGGTGACATCTTTTCCACGCTGCTGCAGCTATGACTCATCGGGTGGGGGGAAGGATGAGAGAAAGAGATAAAGAAAGCAAACCTTGACTGGTGGGGTAGGGAGATGAAAGGGAAGCAGTGGCTTTTCTAGGGCGCTGTGTTCGGGGGGGCGCAGGGGATGGGGTGAGAGCATGCTGCCAGCAGGAAACCATGGATCTTACCCCTGCCAGCCTCTGTGGGCCCTGCTGCAAATGGGGACCTGCTGGGACAGCACCAGCCTCCTGCAGCCAAGGCCTTGGCCACCAGCTGGACAGTCCCCATGTCCCCATGCCACCCATATGGGGAGGGAAGGGCCAAGAGCTGCAGCAGTCAAGCCTCACCAGGCATGAGGTGTGCAAGGAAAAAATCTCTATTTTCTTTTCTCTGTACCTTTTTTGAACCCTCTTTTTCCTATGAGGTAACACCTGCACCCTGCCCATGCCTCCTGCACCCCCCACCTCTGCCCAGCCAGCAGGGTGGCTGAGTGCCATCAGCTCCCCTCCCCTCGCCCACGTCCCCAAACCCCTGCCAGCTCACCACCACAGAGGACACTCACCACTGCTGCACCTCCTTCTCTGTGACTGTAAGAGAAAATAGGAGAAAAGAGGAAAAAAAGAGACAGGAATTTAGTGCTTTTGCTGTGACAGCTGTTCCTCTGCTCTTCTGCCAGTGACTTCCCAGGGGGACGCCTTGGGGCTCCCATCAGTGACTTCCCTGGGAGGATGTTCTGGGGCTCCCATCAGTGAATTCCCAGGGAGGACGTCCCAGGGCTCCCATCAGTGAATTCCCAGGGAGGATGCCCCAGGGCTCCCATCAGTCAATTCCCTAGGGAATACCCCAGGGTTCACTTTTTCCACATGCTGCCATGTGTTCCCCACAAGCCAGTGGCTGCTTTTGAGGCACAGCCTGGGCCACCCCAGGTGGTCAGCGGGGCCAAGGCTGCAGGTGCTGGGGACACTCCAGCCCTGAAACTAGGGAGCTCCTCAAAATATTTTGGTCCCTGCCAGGAGAGTGCAGCACCATCACTGCAAGATACTGTGGACCATGCAGGGACAGTACTGGCCCTGCCCTCCCACCTCCCCAGAGCTAAAACATCCCTGGAAACATCTGCCAAAACATCTGCTTGGAGTTAGCTCAGGGAAGGAACATGCCTGGCCCTGACATACTGAACATGGGCATGGGCAAAGCCCCAGAGCTGGCATCCCCCCAGGTACCAGCTGCCTCTGACCCACTTGGAGAAACATCATCAGACCCATCCCAGGGCCCTGGGAAGCTTCACCAGTCTCTGGAGAAACCCCAACAACGTACAAGTTAGAAAACAGCAAACACTGGCAATCCTGAGTGCCCCTAGCCCAGGGACAGCTGCTGAGATGGCAAATGTCCTCAGCAGAGGAAAGGCTCTGATGGGATGCGGGATGCCGGGGCAGGGGCCTGGCACCCGTCCCTGCTTGTCCCACTGCAGGAGCAGTGCCTGGCCGGAATGCCAGCAGGGAGCCCCGTGCCAGGGGGTGGGCACAGGGGGGAACAACCTCATTAGTCATTTCTTTTGCATCGTGCATCTAACTAATGATAGCAAAGCCACAGGTCTGAAAGGCACGGGGATAATGAGGCGAGCGGAGATGTCAATGTGCAAACAGCTGATAAAAATAGAGACCCAAGACACATCAACAGATGCCAATTACCTTGGATGGCAAAAAAAAAAAAATAAAAAAAGAAAGCAATTTTCCATCAGGAAGATTTGTAACGTGCCTGGCAGAAGGTGCAGAGTGCAGAGGAGAGGGCCCCCCTCGCCACGTGCCGGGTGCTGGCTCCAGCATCCCTGTGGGCAGGAATTTCTGTGCCCAAGGCTGTCCCCATGCATTGGGGGTCCCTCCATCCCAGCTCAGGGGTTGCTGGAGGGACAGAGCCTGCAGTTCTCCCAGGAAGGGCTACCCCAAACTCCCCAGGGAGTTGGCACAGGGCAGCAGCACCTGCAGTACCACCATGGGGTGTCTGGGCAGCCACACCCCACAAGAGGTGGGGCAGGCACAGGGATGCTTGGCACCTGGGATGAAGGACACCAAGGGCTTTGGCTGCACCGCAGGAGGGATTTGAAGAGTTGTTTGTTTTGGCAGAAGAGCAGACAGGGGAAAGGATAGAGGTCTCCTGTCAGAAGGGAGCCAGAAAGGATATGCTGCATCCAGCAGCTGAGCTGGGGTGGGCTAAAACAACAGTCATGCCAGTCCCAAGGGATTTCCCCATCCCAAAAAAAGGGTTGCATGGAAGCATCCTTCCAAAAGAGAGATGCTGAGTGACATCTCTTACAGAAATGGGCTTCTCTGCACACATTCCCTACAAGCATCAACACACTGGCCACGACCCCCACCTCGAGAATCCCCAGGCACCAGCTCCGCAGCCCCAGTCAAGCCCAAGCAGGCACCACGAAGGGCAGGTGGAAGGAGGAGGAGGAGGGTGAGCAGCAGGACTTCGGGCAGCCCTTGGGGCAGGTGAAAGGAGCCAAAGCAGCAGCCTGAGGCTGCAGTCAGGGCTCGGCTCAGCTCCTCCAGGCAGATCGCCTTCTGCTCTCTCTTGTTCGACTGCGTTTCCCCCAACGTGCTATTTTGGGCCCGGGAGCTGCCTTTCAACTCCAGCAGGAAACAATTAAGAAATTTGTGCTTTTTTTAGTGCAGGAGAAATGCTGGTAATGATACGCTCGGGTTGAGGCGGGAGGGAGGGATGGAGCCAGCTCCCCTCGTGCCGCAGGAGGGATGTGTGATGCTCCCAGGAGAGGCTTTTCCGACGGAGGAAACCACTCAGGTGCCAGCCTGAAAATCAGCACGGGGCTCCCGAGGAGGGATTTGTTAATGTGCATCCTGGAATGGAGCCACGCAGAGCCCCATCCCTCCTCCAGCACACAGGCACCAGTGCCTGTCCTCCGGGTGCGGAGGAAGCTGTGGGGTTTGCCCTGGGGTGGGAGCACAGCCTCATCTCCCAGCCCTTGGAAAACCACCCACCTCTGGGAGCACCCCTCCAAATCTGCCACCAAAGCTCCCCTCTCCACAGGGGTAGAGTGTTCCCAGTGCAGGGAAACACCCCAGCCCTGATCCAGCGTGGCTGTGGCCAGGTGAGCGGGGCCTGAGCTGTACCTGCCTCCCTGTGTCTGCTGCTACGGATCTGGGACAGATGATGACTTCATGATTGTCCCTTCCCAGCCACTCCGACCTTGCCGGGTGTGACAGCCAGCGGCACCGATTAGGGATGCTAATGCCCAGCCCGGCAGCTGGACCTGCAGACAGGGAAGCCCTGGGGGACACACCATTGAGTGTGTGACTGAGTCACCTGTCCTGAGGCTGGGAACAGGGGACACACAGAGAGGCAGGGCTGTCCCTCCACTCACCCGGATCCACGCTCTGCAGCTCCCCGGCACGCAGAGCCCAGCCAAGCTCACAGAAAGTACCCGTGTGGCAGCGGCGGCTGCTGCATTTCCCTCCCCCGGCATCGATTACGGCGCGATGCTGAGCCGGTACACATCAATTTGCAGCGATACAAACCTCAGCCAGGTGTGCCCCCGGCGCACAAGGACGAGGGGGTGACCCCCAGCAGCCCCACTGCAGCATCGCAGCGGAGCAGAGCCGAGCTCCGGCTAAGCCGGGTCTGAGCTGGGCTCAGCTGCCGTGCCGTGCTCCAGGGACCGCCGCTCCCGCAGCCGCTATGGGGAGGGCTATAAATAGCACACGTAGCAGCTTGTTAGCAGCAGCGTGCCCCGGGATCCTTGGGGATGAAAGGCGCTAAATAAAGGCAGGGTATTAGCATTCGTTATGAACCGCAGCGCTGGAAGAGGCATCGCCGAGCCGGGAGCCCCGGGCTACGCGCCGCAGACGCCGGCCCCGTAGGAACATCACCGCACGGCAGCAGCGACCAGTGACAGCACATCGCTGTTCCTGCTGCTCCTGGCAAAGAACGGGGAATCGCCGAGCGAGGGGTTCACACCGCAGGCAGGGCAGGCAGTGGGGACAGGGACAGGCAGTGGGGACAGGCACCCAGAGCAGCTCAGGAGCTGCCCCGCACGGCCAAACTGCGGCCACGGGCCCTCGCTGCCCTTGGTGGCACTGGTCGGTCCGCTCCTGCTCCCGCCTCAGCTGGCAGGAGGGTTTTGGCTGCACATCTCACAGAGCACAGAGGGGCAGAGCCTCCAAGCAGCCCCTGGCACCCTCCTCCCAGCTACCGGTACCCAAACCCCCCCAACCCTCTCCCCCCACCTCTCCATCAATCCCAGCGGCACAGGCGAGGACTGACAGCTCCGTCACCACCCGCCCTTCCCGTGCCCCCTCTCCTCCCACCACCCAGCTGCCACTGCAGCAAGAATCAGCTCTGGTTAATCAGTGCTGAAGCCTGTTAATTTGTGTTTGCCAGGCAGCGAGGAGAGGAGGGACCCGGGACTGCAAATCCCCATCCGTGTCCCTGCTGCAGGGGAGCTCACTGCTCGCTGGACCGTGGCAGGACCGGGGCAGCAGGAAGGAGGGCAGGAGGTGGCCAAATTCAAAATGCTTCAGGGACCCCCGGCCACAGTGGGATTCATGAGGTGACATGATGTTCTAGCCCCACGAGGGCAATGGCCACCACCACCTTATCAGGAAACCAGTTAATTATTTCCAGCCACAAAGTGGCTTCCCTCACTGCCACAGGGCACTCCAGCTCTGCCGGGTCATGGGCTCTGCTGCCAACCCACAGTCGACTGGTCCAGCACCACCCACTGAGTCTTGGCAGGATCTGCTTCTCTTTCACAGGGTCCTCACAGGTTCCTGGGCATCCCAGGCTGGGGGAGCCAGCTCATCACCCTAAGCTGGGCTCCCACTGGGTTTGAGGCTGCCTAAACCTGCCGTGGATGCTCAACACGGCCCCAAGACAATGGGAAATTGGGCACCCACATGTGTGCAGTGGGTGCTCCTGCATGAGCAAAGTGTGTGCTCAGGCATGAAGGACTGAGGCAGTTAGGCCTGCACTAACTGGGCACCCACAGCTGAGCCAGATGGGCACTCATGCAAAAATACACCGGGAGATCATGCATGGACTAATTGGACACTCATGCATAAATTATGTGGGTGCTTCTAGGTGAACTAATTGGGTGCTCATGCATGAACTGCCAGGGTGCTGAGGCGTGAGTGAAAGGGGCTCTCATGCACGAGCCAGCTGGGGGCTCATGCATCAATTTTTTGTGGTATTCATGAATTTCTGGGGCGCTCATGCACGGATTAATTGAGCAGTCACGCGTCAACTCGCTGGGCACTCCTGCGTGAACTAATTGGGCACTCATGTGTAAATTAGTGTAATTAGTAGATAACACACTTGTGCACGTACTAATTGGGCACTCAGGTGTGAGTGGATCAGGTGCTCATGCATAAATTAATTGGACACTCAGGCATGAACTGGTTGGAGGCACATGCACCAATTAACTGGGCACTCATGCATCAGCCGCCAGGGCGCTCATGCACGGAAAAGCGTGCAGTCCAGCATGAATTAACTGGGCAGCCATGCATAAATCAACCGGGTGCTCACATGTAAATTAATTGTGCGCTCATCTGTGTATTAATTGGGTGCTCAT